AATTTTAACCCTTTGATGCACAATTTTTTGTTTTTGAATCATTTTGATATATGTTTTGTGCCACGATAAATAGAGACCTCATACTTAGATTTTTTATTTGTCGAGAAAATCGGAAAAGAGTCAAAAGTGTCAAATCACTATAAAAGCTTGAAAAAATTAAATTTCATATAAATAATGATGCAGAAAGTTAAATTGATGTGTTTTGGTCGTACGAGTCCTAATTTGATAATTGAAAAGAATGTAAAAACCCACAAGATAAGAGGAGGAAAAATGTGGAATTCTGCTATAATTTCGCATTTTTTTACAGCAGTACATGAATAGAAAAAACTTTCCATTCAGCTAACCAATTGTAGCCTGTAAAGTATCAAATGAAAGATAGTTCAATTCCATACATTTGTTTCCAAACAAGAATGCAAAAATATTCAATGGTTTCATAGCTATAGCGTCTGGCGTATCTGGTTACTTTAGGAACTGATATGTGATAAGGGGTTAAAACCCGATTTTGTTAAGAAAAAAATTGTCACATTTTTAGATGATTTTGTCATTTAAAACAAATTATTTTAGACGAATTTGTTAAAAAAAGGGACGATTTCCTTTAAACGAAATTGTCATTTTTTTAGACGATTTTGTTTTATTTCTAGACGTTTTTGTGTTCAACCTTTTTGTAAGCAGCCATTTCATTATTTATGTACAATTATTCGGTGAAAAATACGTGGGGAATTTATTTCCATTTTTATTTGGAAATAATTTCGCAGCATTTTTGGTAATAATTTCCCCGGTCAAATATGTCCATATGCATTTGGATATAAATTCTTCTGATATTTGGACATATTTTCTCTAATCAAAATTTTTTCGATGGGGAAGTTTTGTCCTGCCTAAAATTGCCTATTGTTTATTCTATTGCCTAATAGGTCATTATAGGTCTATGACAAATGTTGTTAACTGACTAGCTAAATGTGAACCTCCTCAATATAGTCAGTCTTAGGCGGTGAATAAATAATTGAATTAATACTCCATCTGCAGTTTGGAATGGCATATTTGAAAAAAGTCAGTGAGTTTGGTAATTTAGTCGAATTTTAATTCTGTTTATTTCCATTAGTTTCATTGAATAAAAAAAGAGTATCGGCAGTAGATTATCGATAAAGGGTGATTTAAAAGAACATAATTTTTAAAATTCGACACAACAATATTTTACGAAGAAGATAATTTAGGCGTCGAATATTTTCAATCCATACGATAACGACGACTTCGAAAAATCGTGTAAGAAAAATTAATTGAAAAGACAAGGCAATAATTTTGTTCTTTGAATCCATACACATATTTAAGTAGGGTAATGGTTTGTAAGTTGACCACCCCATGGTATTTCGTATTTCTGACAGTAGAAACGTCAGAGTTTGAACTGTCAACGTCATTAAAACAGCAGACTTCAATTTTAGTGTGGTTTCCGAGTGAAAAGACGCATCGTGTATTAGTCATACGAACACCGTATATTTTGTTGGATAAAATAATTAAACTTCGTTCATTTCCCTGTCATCGTAAAGTGAACAATTTTGATCGTTATCGAAAAGTGAGTATGATCTTTACATAGCAGTTTTTAATGTATTTTCATAATCCGATCTCAAATCCAAGCATTTGGTGGCATGGAACAAATTCTGATTCATTACGCAAAGTCATCAAAAAATGTAAGTTGACCACATTTTGGACATGTAAGTTGACCACCCATGTTTTCTACTGTGTAAACATGCCGACAACATGTTCATACTTGTTGAATGTTTAGAATTGACATCGGATCAACTTTAAAGTATTTTTGTGTTATTTTAGTGGTATTGTAATGGTATTTTAGTGGCATTTTTGTGATTTTTTTTCTATTTTCGGCAAATTTTTAGTTAAAATTTTTAGCAAAATTTTCCGTTATTTCAGTGTTCAAAGCCAATAAAACTAATGAACATTCAATAAAATTCCATCAATTTTGTAATTGGAGTGTTTGCACTCAATATTTTTTACATTTTCAGAGATTTTCAGGGGGTGGTCAACTTACATGCCAACATTTTTTTTTCTCGATTTCAAGCCACTTGGAAAATCGGCTGAAAAAAATTCATTTTCCATTAAACCAAATAACTTTCTATGGCAAAGTTGTAGCTTTTGAGGTCCTCTTTCCAACGGTATTTCAAAATCTACGACATCTCGATTTTTCGAAAAGTTATGAAAATATCAAGGATACATGGTCAACTTACAAACCTCTCCCCTAAATTCCTGACGGCTTTTGGGTCAGATCATCATTAATTGTCGTAATTCATTCCATTCTATCAATAAAATCGCCACAAAATGCGAAAAAAAGAAAAAAAAATTTAAAGTCCAGACTTTAATTAAAGTTCGGACATTAACGGAAAATCTCAAAAAAATCCAAAAAAATAATGAAACCTTCGGATGTTTTGATGCAAAACATCATTATTGGGCCCAACAGTTTTCATGCCAACGAAACATTTCAAAAATATCCACTAACAAAAATTTTGACTTTGGACTTTAATTAAAGTCTGAGCACTTGGAATCAGCATTAATAACTAAATTGTTTTCATTGTTTTTGTAGGTAACTTTACGAGTAGAAATCTTAGTGCCATGAATTATTACGCATACAAGTTTATGTGCCGTGAGTATGATTTCAACCATATATTGAAGTGTCGAAGGCTATTTCATCAATATGCTGCAGATATGTATGCAAAGATTGAATCGGAGCGATTGAATTACATTCGTTTTCACCAACGAAATATACGTTGCGAAGAGTATATTCATTTGCGTGATGAAATGAATAACGACGGTAATGCAGAAGACATCGGCCAACTCATTATATTACCATCCAGTTTTACTGGGAGCCCACGCCACATGCACGAATACGCGCAAGATGCATTGTGTTACGTTCGAAATTACCAGAGACCTGGGCTGGAATTCTAAGACATTCCACCAAAATCGTGCGGAATTGTTTTTTTTGTACGTAAGACAATATTGGAGTGAAAGAGAGAGATTCCACTAATTATCTGGATCCCACCGGAATTATTAAGATTTTCAAGGAAAAGTGATAGTTATCGGAATAATTCCGGTGGTATCCAGAAAATTAGTGGAATCTCTCTCTTTCACTCCAATATGGTCTTATGTACGAAAAAAATAATTCCGAACGATTTTGGTGGAATGACTTAGAATTCCAGCCCAGACTTATTCATTACATTTACCTGTAATCCGCAATGGGACGAAATAAAAGAGCATTTATTTCCTCATCAATCGCATATCGATCGTCATGATTTAACTGTTCGAATATTCAAACAAAAGTTGAGAGCGCTTATTAATTTCATTATTAAGCATGAAGTGTTTGGAAAAATCCGTTGTTGGATGTATTCAGTAGAATGGCAAAAGGGAGGATTACCACACGCGCATATTTTGATATGGTTGGTTGAGAAAATAAGACCAGATGAAGTTGACGATATTATATCTGCCGAAATTTCTGATAAAACAACTGACCCATTTTTATTTGATGTTGTTATCAAAAATATGGTTCACGGTCCGTGTGGCAGTTTAAATCCAAATTCTCCATATATGGCTGATAGTAAATGCACTAAAAGGTATCCAAGACCATTGATTGCTGAAACTGTAACCGGAATCGATGGATACCCACTTTATCGCCGACGTTCAGTTGAAAATAATGCGAATGTAGCAACTATTCGAGTGCGGAATCGAGATATGGAAATTGATAATAGATGGATTGTGCCCTATTCACCACTATTATCAAAAACTTTCAAAGCGCATATAAATGTGGAATATTGTAATTCCGTGAAGTCCATCAAGTACATTTGCAAATACGTAAACAAAGGAAGCGACATGGCTATGTTCGGAGTTGCTAATGAGAACAGGAGCAACGAAATTACGAAATATCAGCTTGGTCGATATATAAGCACTAACGAAGTGTTGTGGCGAATATTTTCATTCAATATTCATGAACGATATCCAACTGTTCAACATTTGGCTGTGCATCTTGAAAACGGACAACGTGTTTATTTCACTCCTGAAAATGCAAGGGAAAGAGTTGATGCTCCGTCAGCTGCAACGGTAACGGCATTTTTTAAATTATGTGAAACTGATGAGTTTGCCAAGACATTGCTGTACTCTGAAGTACCACATTATTACACCTGGCAAAAGAATAAAATGTTTCAACGACGCCTACGAGGACAGCCAGTGCAAGGTCGTACAGGCATATTCAAAACGGACGCATTAGGACGAGTTTACGCAATTCACCCAAAAAACGATGAATGTTTTTATTTGCGTTTATTATTGGTCAACGTTCGTGGTCCAACATCTTTCCAAAATTTGCGGAACAGTCAATGGAGAATTGTGTCCAACATATCGTAGTGCCTGCCTAAAGTTGGGTTTATTGGAAAATGATTCGCATTGGGATGATACGCTTGCTGAATCATCAAATACCAGTGCCGGTATTCTAAGAATTCCACCAAAATCGTTCGGAATTATTTTTTTCGTACATAAGACCATATTGGAGTGAAAGAGAGAGATTCCACTATTTTTCAGCGTCCCACCGAAATTATTTCTCACACAATCCACTCTTCCTTGAGTTATCGAAATAATTCCGGTGGGACGCTGAAAAATAGTGGAATCTCTCTCTTTCACTCCAATATGGTCTTATGTACGAAAAGAATAATTCCGAACGATTTTGGTGGAATGACTTAGAATTCCAGCCCAGGTGGTACCGGAAAGACATTTTTAATGTCTTTACTGTTAGCCAAAATACGATCGCAAAATAAAATAGCATTAGCGCTTGCTTCGTCCGGAATTGCTGCAACTCTATTGGATGGTGGTCGAACCGCGCACTTCGCATTGAAATTACCGTTAAATGTTCATATTATTGAGCATCCAACATGCGGTATTACGAAGAGATCCGGAATGGGAAAAGTTTTAGAAGAATGTGACATTATTGTATGGGACGAATGCACAATTGCACAATGGCACACAAAAAATCGTTGCAAGCATTGGAAATTACGATGAGAGACATTCGAAAGAACGATAATTTGTTTGATGGTGCATTGATATTGTTGGCTGGTGATTTTAGACAAACACTGCCAGTCATTCCTCGATCAACTCCAGCCGATGAGCTGAATGCATGTTTAAAATTGTCGCCGTTATGGAGATACGTAAAAGTTTTACGCCTCAGAGAAAATGTTCGAGTTCAATTGCAAAATGATCCATCTGCTGCTGTATTTTCGAAGCAATTATTGGATATTGGAAATGGTGCAATGGCCGTTAATGCTGCAACTGGTATGATTACTTTTCCCGAAAATTTTTGCCGTATTACCCAAGAAAAAGATGAATTAGTTCAAAGCGTGTTCCCGAATATTGTTCAAAACTATATGGATCACGATTGGTTGGGTGAAAGAGCCATATTAGCAGGAACAAATAAAGATGTTACCGAACTCAATTGGAGTATTCAAAGTAAAATCCCAGGTACATAAATGTTGAAGCAATGCAACCGTGTAAAGTCACATACGTCAAACACCAAA